GCTGACATGGCTATAATTTGGAAACGGTCAGACTATTACACAGGAGATTTGGCAGGGTGGGGGATTTGCTCTACATGTGGTACCAGGCCTAAGTCAGCTTGACATGTTATTTCAAATTCCATTGTTTTCCTCAGGATTCCCTGTGACCCTTCCTCCAAGAGGTGTTGGTGGGAGACCTACTGTATGCACATCTGAGCAGAGCCAGCCCAGATCTGTAACTTCGAGGAATGGGCCATTAATGTCTCATTTGATGTCTTGCTTTTGCCCATCATCTACCTCCTCCTTTAGACATCCCTTTGGACCTGGCTTTTCCCCAAAGCACCACTCTCTTGTTCTATTCCATTAACTAGGATTCATTCCTGTGCTATCTCCTACGGAAAAAAACACAAGAAACAAACAAACAAAAACCAGATGCTCCTCTCCCACTCCTTTCTGCCTCTCTGTCCATTCCTACTGCCTTGCTTCCTGCTTTCTCAACTAATCTGCAAAGGACTTGCTTCCTATTGCTTGCCCTTTACAGTACAGAAACTGCAATTGAAAGGGATGGGAAGAGGTAGGCTATAACATGCAGTTTGATAATGCCCTATACTGTCATGATTCCCACCGTGCACTGGTTAACTGTGGCTTGTCATCAGCAGAAGTTATGGCAACAGTTCTGAAAATGCCCCTTCTGACTCTATTCCAAAACTTCAGGTTTAAAGGGTCTGGAAGCTCTAGAAGGACACTAGTGAACATGAGTGATCATTGCCTCCTTGTGTATTTCCCAAAGGCTGATTCTAAGAGAGTCTTGAATTCTGCACTGCCCAGTAAATGCCAGCTGGGCAGTCTTCCTCCTGCAGCAATTAGCTAGCTAACTGCTAGCCAAGTCTGTGGAAACAATAACAGGCTTTAAGATTTTTATTTGTTTGGTTGGTTTTTTGTTTGTTTGTTTTTAACCAGAACGATTTCATGTTTAAGTCGACAAATCATCACAAAGACTTTATCTTTCTGGATCTGTTGTTGCTTGTTTGCCTTTGTATAGTCCTGGCTGGCCGGCCTGGAACTCAATTTGTAGATCAGGCTTGAGTCCACAGAGGTCTCCCTGCCTCTGCCTTCGAAGTGCTGGGATGAAAGGTGTACACTACCCACACCCAGTCTGATTTGAATGCCAATGACTAGAGAAAAATTTTTAGTTATACATGCATTTTGTGTTTCAATTTATTTGAAGTAGTGGACCTTACAATTCATACTTAGAAATATTTTGTGGAACCCCACTGAAAATGTCTCTTGAAACATTTATTCTTCAAATATAGAATAGGAAACAGATCTCAAGTAACAGGACTTGTGGGATTCAGAGAATCTCAAGGGAGGTGGGCAGTAATGGTTGTATGTGTGAGTTGCTTATTGAAGGCACCTGGGGCTGAATGCTGCTGAAGTCCCCTCAGTGAACCAGAGAGGCTGGCTTGGAATTATACCTCTCTAGGAGATAACTTTTGTCACATTTTGGTTCTCCAGGAGCATCAACTGTTCTCACCTGGCTATCTTGCCAGGGCCAAACTAATTAACTGGCTTCATAACAATTCCAGAAAGAGAAAACCTAAGAAAGAGGGGTAAAGGATAGAGTTTGACAAGAGCACTTACAAGTGTACAAAACTTTTTAAGAGCTGTCTACCAGCTTCAACTGAAAATCAAAGAAGGCCTGCGAACAAAGTGAAGTGAAACCAAATGAATAAAAGGTTTTATGACTTTTTCCTTTGGAATAATGTAAGTTCTTTGACCATGGAAGTGACTTATATAGTCTCTGATGAAAATAATAACCATGTGTGGTTTCTGACAGGATTGAATGCAGCACTTACAGGGCTGGAGAGAGAGAGCAGAGGTTAAGGTCATCTATTATGTTTCTATTGGGACAAAACACCATGACCAAGACAATACACAAAAGAAAGCATGAGCTTATGTTTTCAGAGAGTTAGAGTCCATGTGACACCACAAAGGCGCAGTGGCATGCACAGCTGAGAGCTCACATCCCTATCCACACAGGTAGGAGGCAGTGAGGGGCACACCTGGAATAGTCCTTTGAGATCTGAAAGCCTGCCCCTGCAGTGACACACCTCTTCCAACAAGGCCATACCTACCAATCCTTCCCAATCAGTTCCACCGAATGGGGTGGAAGTATTAAAATATATGAGACTATGGGACCCATTCTCATTCAGACTGCTACAAGGCATATTTTGCAGAGACGCTGAAGTTTTGTTTGGAAGGTCATTAAGTTTTGATATGATTTTAACATTAGTTTCATGCAAGATTGGGTAATGAAAAAATCATCAATGGCACTTAATTCCCATGTGTCTTGCATACTTTATTAGAATTGCTTTTAGGTTTTCATCAGCCATACTTTCCATGGTCAATTGTATTTTTTAAAGAAATCTTCAGATATTCTGTTTATTTTTTTAATATTTCATCTTTTTAAAATTAATTTTTTTATTTTACATATTGATCCCAGTTCCCTCTCCCTCCCTCCCATGCCCCCCAACCACCCTCCCATCCCATTGCCCACCACCACCACTCCACAGGGTGTGTGGTGCCTTCCAGGAGGGGTCAACAAAATCTGTAAAGTCATTTGGAGTAGGGACTAGGCCCTCCCTCCTGCCTCTAGGTTAAGGGACTATCCCTCCATGGGGAATGTGCTCCCAAAGTCCTTCTGTGCACCAAAGATACATCCTGATTCCACTGTCAGAGGTCCCTTAGACTGCCCAGGCCTTCTAACTGAGATCCATGATCAAGGGGTCTGAGTCAGTCCAGTGCTGGATTCCCAGCTATCAGTCCAGGGACCCATTAGCTTCTCCTTGTTCGGGTCAGCCGTCTCTGTGGGTTTCTGTAGCCTGGTCTTGTCTTCCCTCTCTGCATCTGGATTCCAGTTCGGCTCAGTGTCTAGCTGGGGATGTCTGCTTCTATTTCCATCAGCTACTAGATGAGAGCTCTATGATGGCTTATGAGTTAGTTATCAATCTCGTTGTCAGGGAAGGGCATCTATGGTAGCCTTTCCACTATTGCTCAGATTGTTAGTTGGGGTCAACCTTGTAGGTCTCTGGACATTTATCTAGAGTCAGTTTTCTTTTCAACCTATTATGGCTCCCTCTTTTATTCTCTCTTTCTCTCTCTCTATCTCTCTCTCTCCTTATCCCTCCCCTGACTTAATCTGTAAAACTGAGTCAAATACCAAGAAACAATCTATGCTCATCCTACTTTCTAATTTCCTCTTATGTCAAAGTAGTTTTTTTTTTTAATTTTAGATTAAATTTTTAATGCCTTAGTTTTGTTCTTGTCCATTTTCCTCCAGTGGAAAGACAGAAGCAGCTGGTTACTATTTTCAACTTCCTTTTGTTTGAGATTTATTAAACATGCAACACATGAGTGTATGTTTTTCTTGTCTGGGTTTAGAGTGCACCACTTCTTTTTGCAAGCAATGATAGAATTTAAAGCAGAAAAGGAATAGAAATCATCTGGTTCCAGTATAGAGCTTGAAATCGCATCATTTATCTTTTGATTCTTTTGTCTTTTGTACTTCTCTGATGTTTTGTCTTCACTTCACTTGACGATCAGTTGGAATTGCTTTTTTTTCTTTTTTTTTAACTAAATGCTGAAAATTCTTTGCCCGTTAATTATGTGAGTTAATATTCCACCAAATAATATTTTCCTGAGTTATTGTTAATTTAAGTTATGGTATTACTTTATCAAATATGTTGCCTTTCCTCTATTGTGAACATTTTGTTCCATATTTTTGGATTCTTTGTCTCCTGTGAGCCCTTACTATATTCAATTACACTTCCTTTTCATCCTTTAATACTTGCAATGTGGTTGTTTAATGGATCCAGAATTAACTTACGTGCAAGACTACACATTTATTATTTAAATTTTTTGTTTATTACAACATATTGTTTTGATCACTATAGTGTTTTGTATCATGAATATGTTACACATAGACATTATATATTAAATATGTATCAGTGATTGTTCTTCACTGGAAGGAGCATTATTCTCTTGGCAATGTCTATGGACATTCTTATTTGCTGTCACTAAAGATACATGGAGTAGAGGATAGGCTGGCCTCTGGATTATAGTAAGTAGCGGCCTGGGATGATGCAAAATACCCTGCAGAGTTCTGAAATTAAAAGAGACTCATGACAGACAGACAGACAGATATGCAATAAATAGTAAAGAGACTTTTGCTATGCACCATGGGATGATGCAAAATACCCTGCAGAGTTCTGAAATTAAAAGAGACACATGACAGACAGACAGACAGGCAGACAGACAGACAGATATGCGATAAATAGTAAAGAGACTTTTACTATGCATCATCCCTCTGACAGTTGCATACTCTTCAATGAAAACGCTGCCGAGCCTATTTTTATTTTTAAAAAATGTTTATTTATTCTGTGTGTGTGTTTGTGTGTGTGTGTGTGTGTGCGTGTGCGTGTGTGCGTGTGTGTGCACAGGTGTCCATGGAGAGCAAAGGAGTTATATCCCGTAAGGTACAGGCAACTATGAGCCATCCAGTGTCAGTGCTGACTGCCGAACTCGGTACTCTGGAAGAGCAGCATACTCTCTAGACCACTGAGTTAGACCAGCACTCTCTCCAATCCCTGTGCATCCATTTCTAGGACCTACACTAAGAACATTTTGAGAAAAAACTTTGCCTCTTTCTTTGAAGATACCCAGCCAGATGTGTTGTATTTAAGCTTCATAATTGAAACATTTTAAAAATGGATTTAATAGATTTAGAATGCTGGCTGTAAGGGGTGCCTGAGTTGAATTAGGGACCTTGGCATATTACTTAAAATCTCTTGTCTTTAGATTCCTCATATATAGAATTTGGTGTGCATCATAGATATTTTAAAACTACAGATCTGTTTGAAGCAGTTTGCTGCTTCTTTAGCGCTCTGTTACACTTCATTCTCTTAACCTACAGAATAACCTTCATCAGACAATCAGCTCTGTTCACTTCATCATCATCACAGTCTTCTCATCCTCACCACCAGCATCCTCACCACCAGCATCACCACCACCATCCTCACTATCACCATTGTTACTACTATCATCATCACCATCATCACAAACACCATCACCTAACTTTGTACATTTATTAGTCAGTACCAAGTTTTCAAATGGCCTTGTAAGTGCATATATATATATATATATATATATATATATATATATATATATATAAAGGGTACAGTGTTTAATTTTTTCATCAGTAGGAGCTGTCATTTTGTTATTTTATTCTATTTTTGGGTGATGGAAATGGAACCCCAGATTTCACATATTTTAAGTTAAGTATATGATGTAGCACAGAGCTGAATCGTTAGCCCCAGAATTATTTCAAACTCTGTATTGTGTTTGCTGTCAATTAAAATTTAAATGTTGGCAATGGTACCCAAGGAATTCGGTTTGTCTTCCTATGCCACAAATTTCACTTCATTTTATTAATCACTGTTATATGACTTAAAGGCATTTTCTATTTCTTAACTAGATAAATATTGTCTTTCTCTATCAATGGGGACTTTTTAAAATTTATTTTGATGTATATGGGTGTTTGTCCTGCATCTGTGCTTATGTAATACATATGTGTCTTATACCTTTGGAGGCCAGAAAAGATTGTCAGATCACCTGCAACTAGAATTACAGACAGTTTTGAGCTGCCATCTAGGCGCTAGAAACTGAACCTGGGTCCTGCAGAAAAGCAGCCAGTGCTCTCAACAGCTGAGTCATCTCTCCAGCTCTGTTAATAGTACTCTTGTCATTTTTCATCTGTGGCTGTTGAGGCCTTTGCCCACTCCGTAAGTATCATCCCACAGTGCTGTACTCATAAGAATATATGCCCACTGCCAGTAGCCCCTTATTCAGGGTGGGGCATACAAGGCATTGTTGCCATCTATGCCAGAATTTTGACTGGCTTGAATTAGTGCAGGTTCAGTCTTGAGCAGGTGACCACAGCTTCTCTGTGTTCCTGAGTGTGATATCTGTCACGTCCAGCAGGCATTTCATAGTACTCTCCCCCATCTTCCAACTCTTTTCTGCCTGCTTTCCCAAGAACTTCCCCAAGCTTTGGGTAGGGATGAGGATGTAATAAAGATGTCCCAACTGGGGATGAACGCTCTCTAAAAAAAAAAAAAAAAACACACACACACACACACACACATGTTAGTTGACGTGTACTCATTGGATTTTTCAATTTGTTCATTGTATTCTATTATATGGATACGAACAATTTTATAGTATAAAATAATCACATCAAAAAGCCATAATATGACTTTAGTGGCTGCACCATAGTTCATTTGTCTATGTGCAGTGATTTATTGGATAAGTTCCTTATTCTTGAGCATGTGGAATATCTCTTGTAAATACCACTATGTTTATTTTAAGGTGCCTTAAGCTTCTCGTCTGATTATTTCCTTAGGATACATTCTTCAAGAAAATCAAAGGGCCAGGTGGAAGGAACTGATTAAGATAGATACTTGGTGTATATTGCCAAATTGCCCTCTGGAAAGTTATTTCTTGCTTATGGAAGAAAAGAACTAATCCTTGTTCTAATTCTACTCTAATCATTTTTTATGCAGCATTTCTTTAACCTTTGAACTTCTTTGGTTTTAGGGCTCAGAACTGTTTATTCTTCAAATACATGTTTCTTTCAGTGGATTAACAAATAATCACTTTGTTTCATATAGATCCAAACAGTATAAAGCTCTTGTTTTTTCTTAGTAGAGGGTTTGAAGTACAACATTTTTTATTTTTACTGTATAAATTATTTCTTTCTAGATGAACCAGGGCCAAAGGTGACATTGGTCTGGCAAGCCTTAATGCACAAGGCATAATCCTAATTCTCTTTTTAATAATGTTCTGTTTATTTCTACCACTGAAATATTCTATCTAACGCAATTAGAGTTGGCCCTCCTTGGCAGAACCAGCCCCAGTCAAACAAAATGAAGGATGATGGTAGGTTTTACACAAAGTAGTTTGCAGCGGTGTTTTTAGCATCATTGCTGGGCTCCCTTGGGCTTCATCTGTCTTATGCGCATCCTTACCCACACCAGTTCTTTCTCCATCTTTATGTCTTGCTTGATTTTTTAAACTTTTGCTTTCGTTGTCATTTTCTTCCTGCATGTGTTCATCCGTGACCTTCATTCTCAGCCAGAGTTCACAGTCCACATCTCCCATGTCTCCCTCTAGGGAAAGGTTGTGTCTGTGTGGTGGCATTGATGTAAACAGGGGGGAAAAGAGAAGGGAGGCTGTGTACTAGGAGTATATGACCCATTTGCCACCCCATACAAGAGTTCTTTGAGCTAAAGTAAATGACAGTTGTTGACATCTTTGAGTCCAATTTATGTCTTTCCCTCTTCCTGGATAGCTATTGCCCCTCCTTCCAGAATGTTACCACAGATCTTAGAGTGAAATTTGAACAATAGCTTAATTTTTTGTTTCTTTTGAAATATACATAATTCAAATCAGCACAGTTGCCATTTTCTGATGAAATGAAGATTGTACTAGGAATTTATAAAGTGACAATCCTTTCCCTCGGTGGCTATTCTCATTTACATATACACTGTTTAAGTGGTTTAAAGGGCCACATAGCCTATCTTTATGAGTCAAGAATAAGGAAATACTTGCCAAGGCTCTATTCCATTCCATAATGCCTGGAAGACCTGAAAATCCTTGCCATGACAAGAGATATTATGAAATCCATCTTGTGTGCAGTAGACCTCCACAGCAGAAAAGAAGGCTGAAGACCAATCTTTTGAGACTATGGAGAAAATGATAGAATTCCTGAGAGACTCACTTCCAAAAGAGTGACACCTCAGGAATTGCCCCTGGCATGTGTTTCTGACATCCCTCAGATTTAGTTCCTTCCTTATCTCCTAGCAATCTCCATTCACACATTTGCTATGACCCTCATCCTTGTTGGTCTTCACCCTTGCAGTAATTTTCCTATACTGTGTTAGACACTAGCAATATACATATCCCTATCACCTCCCCTTGTTATATCAGGACATTGACCCACGTGTTTAAATGCAGCATCTTTGATTATCACCATACTATGGTACCTAATGTAGTAGTGACAGTCCTAGAGAATAAGCCAAAACCCAGATTTTACCCTAGCTATGCCCTTAGCTCAGCAAATCACTTTTCAGTCTGCTAGGTGACACATTTGGCACAGGTACCAAAGTCCCCTCTACTAAAGTATCCTGAGGTTCTATACAAAGATTATTAAGGTTATAGGCATGGAAAGCCATCATGAGATTTAAAACATTCTGCTTTGTTTGTTTGCTCTGTTTTGTTTAGTTTATAGAGACAGGGTCTCTCTGCTTAGCTTTGGAGCCTGTCCTGGAACTAGCTCTTATAGACCAGGCTGATCTCAAACTCACAGAGAGAGAATCACTTGCCTCTGCCTCCTGAGTGCTAGGATTAAAGGCGTGCCCCACTACTGACTGACTCTCTTTTTGTTTTTGAAACCCTGGTTCATGAAAGGCACCATGGACAAGGAAAATCCAGAGCACACTGAGAACCAGAGTATAGAAAACACTACATTAGCACCATTGCTGTGACAAATACAGGGCACTAAGCAACCTAAGGAAAGAAGAGTGTATTTCAGCTCAGTTTGAGGGACCAGTGAAATCATGAAAGGGCAGTCACAGTAAGAGGAACATGAGCTAGCTAGTTACTCTGAATCCAGTGTCTGGAACCAGAGACATAAGGAAGCTGGCATCAGCTCTATTTCTTCCCCTTATTCAGTCCAGAAATCTGGACCATGAATGGTGCCACCCAAATTAGGGTCCTCCCACCTTGGTTAATCTAGTCTAGAAACATCCTCACAGATATTCCCAAAGATGTGGCTCCTGGATGAATCTAGAACCTGCCAAGTTGACAAGACCTGTCCTTCTTATAAGTTCCATGTTTTGTTTTAAGAAAATTTATTTCTAAGGTAGATATAATTTGTCTTTGCCTAGTTTCCTATAGAACTATTAAGAAAACAAAGAACAATACCAAGTACTTACTGAATGCTTGGGGTAAGATTTTGATTGCTGTTTGCTGAGTTTTACTTTTCAGAAACTTTGTCACTGTGTCGTATAGTCTAATGTGCAAACACTTAAAGCCTGAACTAAGACAATCATGAAAGAGAAGATGCTGAAGATACTTCTGTAGATATCACATACATATGTAACTTGGCACTTGAATAGAGGAGAACATCAAACATGATCCCTTTATCAGTATTTATGAAAAACACAATTACTTGTGAGAAACATGAGCATCTCAAACACTACCGTACTGAAAAGGAATGGTTTTTTTTTGTACAAGATTTCTGATGTAACAGTGTAAAACAGTGCTATCTAGATGTCCCCAGAGACATCTGCATACATGTTCTGGCAGAGTCCCAAACTTGAATGAGGCCAGACCTGTGGAGAGCACTCTTGTGGATAGATAACCTTTCCTTCTAAATGGAATGTTCCTGCAGGAGTCAAGCATGCCTGCCAAGAATGGTCCTATTTCTTTCATGCCTTAATTCCTTGAGACTATTAAGTACGCCACCAAGCATGAAAAGGCACACTAATTTGCTTTCTCTGTTATTTAGTTGATGTATAGACGGGGTTTCCCTCCCTTGATTTTGCCAAAGGTATTTAGGAATCATGATCAAGAAACTGGAGAGAGCAATGAGAGTTTGCTCTCTTCTCTAGCCCCATGAGATGTGAAGAATCAAGTGCTATTATGACACTGCCAGCTGTGGACATGGTAACATTGTTTTAACAAGCAACTTTTATTAAAACTTTGAAATTCTGTCTCCTGGCAGATTTACAGCTAGGTCAGGGCATTCTAGCAAGTTATGTTCAGAAGGAAACAAAAAAGTAGCTTGGGGAAATCAACTTCTTTCTGTAAGACAGTAAAATCATACTTTAATTCTGAATGCTTGACTAAAAGGTCTCATTTTCCCACTAAACCATGCCCTCCACCATTACCTGTAGTAATTCAGTGCTAAACTCCTGACTGCAAGCCAAGTATTTCAGCACTTGTGACAATTCATGTTGACCTTGTAATTACAGGCACACTTTTTAGGGAATGCATGATATTTTAATGGTGAT